CCCCCAACTATTAATTCTTAATGAACTTGTAGTATAGAAGGGAATGTAAACTATTGATAAAGAAGAATGAGAAGCTGCGCCCTCCACAACTAAGACTGAAGGACAACAACTTGACTTGGAGCTGATGGGTCCTGGAAAAACACAATGTTCCCCTTCCCCAATTCCCCAACACTGTTCCCTTCCCCAATTCCCCAATAAAATCTTAAAAAAAAGAAGAATGAGATATCACATCTGACTGCTGGGAATCAGGATACATTTCACTAAAGAGGTGCAGGGAAGGATGAGTAGAATTCTGAGAGGCAGAGATGAAGGTGGACGGAGAAGAAAATGAAGCCCAGTGGTAACAGAAGCAGAGTGGCTTGTCCTGAAGGGTTGCCATGTGCTGGGAATGTATATTTTTATGTATTTCAGGTTAACCTTAACCCCGTGACAACAAGTGAGGTAAGTATTCTATCCCCATTTCACAAATGAATAAATTAAGGTTCAGTGATGCTTGTGGCACCCCGTGTCAATCTCAGGTCTGTCTTGACTTCATAGCTTCTCCACTAAGTCTGACTGTGAATAGTTCAGTTTGATCAAAATTAGGGGTTGGCAAACTTCTCTGTAAAAGGCTCAAAGCAAACATTTTAGGCTCTGTGGCCATATAGTCTCTGTCCTAACTACTCAAACTCTGCAACTGTGGTGTGAAAGCACCCATAGACAATACATTAAAGGAATGGGCATGACTGAGTTCCAATAAAACTTTCCAAACACGGGGCTGGCTAGATTTGGCTCATAGGTCACAGTTTGCAGACTCGTGACTGCAATCAAAGTTATAAGAAAAAGACTACTGAGAGATGAAACTAGGAAAGCAGGTGAGAGTCATATGGAGAAATTCATACTTATTAAAAAAAATATTAGGAATCTTGTGAAGACACTGGAGCAGATGGGAAGTGAACTGCATCTGAGGAAGACAAATGTAGAAAGTGCTAAGCAGGATAGACTGGAGAGGGCAGAGATCTGAGGTTTGAAAAACAGACAGTAGATCATTGAAGTTCACGGCCTTGCCTTATACTTGACTGAGAAAATAGAACTCATCAGACCTGATCTGCTTTCTCTTCTCACCAACGAATGCACATATTTACCTACATGTTCCTGTTAAAATGTAAGATGTGTTTTTCCTCTTACTGAAGACTGATCTGTATGTCAGCATCCTTCCTCCCCGTCTTCTCAAGAGCTCTGCACCTTTGATTATAGTCTCTTTCTCAAGTGCTACCAGTCTCTCCAGGACTACTGGCTCGTGTCCATTAGCATACAAATATGCTCTAATATTTCCCAGTGACCTCACATCTCCCTCTAGCTGCCAGCCCCTTTCTCTGCTCCTCTTCATGACCAAAACATGCAAAAGAATTATCTACACACCCTGTCTCTGCTTCACTACTTCATTTCCCTTTCACGCCTCAACTCTGAAGCTTCTGCCCTGATCTTCCTCTTGAACTACTCTTGTCAAGATCACTAGTAATCTCCACGATGTGAAATCCATGGGCTGCTCCTTTGAGCTCTTTTTTTCCTTGACCTTTGTTCAGGAGTTTGAAGTCATGACCCTATTTTCTCCTTATTTCTTTCCTACACGACTGGCTAATGAGGCTGAGGAAGGCTTCTTTGTTGTCTGTGCCTTCTCTATCCTCTAAATGTTAGATGACCTCAGGGCTAAATCCTGGGTTCTCTTCTCTTCCTACTCTACTCTCTAATAGGTGATTTCACCAACTTTCATGGACTGGAAATACCATCTCTATGGTGATGATTTCCAAATTTATACCTCTAGTCCTGACCTCTCTTGTGAAATTTAGGTTTGCATTTTCAACTGCCTGCTTTGATGTCTCACAGAGGTCTCAAGCTCAATTTTTAATTTTTTCCCCTCAAACTTGTCAACCATTCTCCTGCCTGGGAATCATTCTTGATTCTTCCCTTTCCTTCACATCTATATGTAATCCATCAAGTTTAGCAAATTCAGTTGTTTCTATGTCTACAATGTATTTTGAATCTGTCCCCTTCTCTCCATCTTCACTGCAAACACCTTGGTCCACACAGCATCATCTGTTACAAAAGGCTCCTAAGTATTCTTCCTACCTCTAGTCTGGCGTCCCTACAATCCACACCGACAAAAGGGATCATCTGAAAATATAATTTGGATGGGAGCACATCACTCCACTGTTTAAAACCCTTTAATGGGGCCGGCCGAGTGGCTCAGTTGGTTAAGAGCTCACTCAAGAGTTTGAGCTCTGAGCAACAGGGTCCCTGGTTTGATTCACGGCCCGAGGTGAGCTGCCGCTGAGCTGCCAAGTGGTGGCAGGATGGCTCAGCTAAAAAACAAAAAAACATAAAACAAAAAAACTATAGGTCAGGCTGAGTGGCTCAGTTGGTTAAGAGCTCGCTCAAGAGTGTGAGCTCTGAGCAACAGTGGTTCAAGTCCTGGCCCGAGCTGAGCAGCCGCTGACCTGCCAACAGGTGGCAGGATGGCTCGGCTAAAACAAAACAAACAAAACAAAACAAAACAAAACAAAAAACCCTTTAATGACTTCCCATTGCACTTAAGAAAAACACTCAGATCAGGAAGGCTTGTCGTGGCCTATAAAACCATGAATAATTTTCACTGTCTCTTTTTTTTTTTTTCAAAGATTTTTATTGGGGAATTGGGGGGATGGGAACAGTGCTGGGGAATTGGGGGAAGGGGAACAGACAAGTTGCCGTCGTTTTGTTCTTCAGTCTAGTTGTGCAGGATGTTGCTTCACTGGCCCAAGTTGGCACCATCATTGCACTCTTCCCGGGCGAGGCAGATCAGTCGCTGGCTTCTGGATGGCCGCTCACT